CTTGGTGGAAAGGTATGTCCTTAGTCAATCCCGGATGCTACAGGGCAGTCGGTACACCTTCATATGGATGGATAAGACAAAAGTCTTCCGGGTACGGGTTCTGGACAAGGGAGAGGAGGCCAAAGCCTTTCAGCCGACCATCGGGATACATGAATTGACCTTCGACCCAGAGGAATGGAAATGGCAACCGGGGGAAGAATAACAGGCCCCATCAACAAGGTTAGCCTCCACAAACTAACTGTCGGATCCACCTATAAAATGCTTAGACAAGGAGGCCCTTCAGAGATATGATAAATGACAGATGGGCAAAACACCTCAATGTGGACCGCTCTCTTCTCACGCAAATCCCCTGGTTTCAAGAACGAAAAGCAAAACTGGCCAAAATCACCTCGCTGCAGTGGCATATTGCCCACCTCTGCCTCCCGACTATTCTGCCTCCCGACTATGAACTGGCTGATTGACCACACAAACCTGGAGCAGTAAGGACAGGCCCTGCCCTGGTGCCCACAATGCCCGCAGGCCCTCCCCATAAGGAAGAGAGCAAGAACCATTGAACATGTGTTCATGCAATGCCCTACGACACAACTGACATGGCGTTGGTGGGATAGGATATGGAGAAAAATGATCTCCGACCCGCCATGGCCGTGGTCATGGCGGACCATCCTCACAGGGATTTGGCCACAAGCTCATGAGGCATCCGACTTTGTAGAAAACATGTTCAAATTGGGTCAGAGAGCAATCCTATGGGGGCTCTGGTGGCAAAGGTGCATCCTAGTGATGGAAGGGGTGCGAGTAGAAGGGCCGGAGGTAACCTGTGATAAGCTCAGACCCGTACCGCACGGCTTTCTGTATCCTTGAGGAAAAATCCCCCGGAAGCCCCGAAGTACGGATGTGAACAAAATGGGTTTTTTCTTTCTTTTCACTTTTGTTTTCTTTTTGTAGCAGCTTTTTCACTTTTCTTTGGTTAATAACTCCCGCGCGGACGAATAGCGGCCGCGGTATGAAAACAAAGAAACCGTTTCGGTTGGGACTTTTTGAATTTTTACGCGCGCGCCTAAGCTCCGAATTCTTCGCCCGCCTTGCACCCCTGTTTCTTGCTTTGCATCCCCGCGCCATCTTCCTTTCTTGCTGCGCGTGTTTCCCCCATGCAGGACTCTTCGTCTTCCCCTACGCCCAGCTCGATCCCCACCCCGTCTTCCTCCGCGAGTGAATGGCTGCGTAGTTGGGATGCTCGGATCAATGTGGAAGGCGAAAAGGCGCACCACTTGAACAAAAACCCCAATCATGCCTGACCACGCGACTCCGCGGAACACCTCTTCCGAAACCCTCCACCTTTCTTCTGTCCTGCTCGTCGCGTTCACAACCCGCCGCTTCCCATGCTATAAATTTTCACAACCCCCTCCTCTCCCTCTCTTTGATCTCGGCTGCAATACTGCGCGAGCTATGCGCGAACGTCCGCGGCGCCGAACAAGCTTGACGAGCCCAAGTTACGGGCGGAGTGACGACGGGGGTAGGGCTTAGCGATAGACTCGGGGTAAGCCAGCTAGAGGGATTGAGCAGTGGTGGAGACCGGACGCCGATCACGATAGGGTCTTGTGGCTATGGTGGTCGGTGGTCCTTGGGAAGTTTGAGGTCACGTCTGAGGGCGTCAGCCAATTGAAAATTTTTGTGTACGAGGAAACTCGCTTTTTCTCCATTGCTGCTCTGTCTCCGTGAGATAAATGCGACGTCCCGTTGAGTGGGTAATTGGTTGCATGCATGGGAGTGAGTCTCGGTGAGATGGTCTGTGAATGGGTGTGAGTCTGCGTATGCATGTATGTGGTCCGTGGGTACTAAGTGGCGATTGTCTGCAAGGATGCCTGATTAAGTCGGTCATCGTACCTCTTTTCCCTTTTGCCTTGTTCCCCTGTTAATCCCGCTGCTCGATCACGTAGGGCGAGGGTCTTCGCGTACCGAAGAAGTCCCTCCCGTCCTGCGCGTCTGGGCCGGAATCCTGCGGTATCGAGCGCATCGACCCTCGCGTGAACGAGGGCCCTCCCGGCTATGTCACGCAGGAGTTAGAACAAAACAAAATCAAGAGACAACTTAGGACGATGCAGAGATAATTCCCTGAACCGCCGAGACGGATGTGGTTGCATTGTCCCTTCGCCGCTCTAGCCGGGTGCGCCAGCTATACATCCCGCGGTCCCCTACGACAGGATAGATTTTCGCGGGGCACAACTTACCTTCCCTGAGGGGCTGTCAGCACCCTCAGGGGCGTATCCCTACCGAGCTACCGACCCACGTGCGAAAGTTTTAATATGCAATTGCAGAGGTAGGTCAGCCGAGGGCGTTTGCTCGCTCACTTGAGTATAAGTACGCTTGGTTAACGCCAAATAAACCCGAACGTTGTCCGTTTCCGAGGGCGCTGAACTCCTTGGTACGAACAAGCGTCGGTCGACTAAAACGGCCTCAACCAAACGTGAAACCGAATGTATAATCCTAGTCCCTTTATAATCCCCTACCAATTTATAACAACATTTTGACTTGATGAGACGACCTGCCAAGGTTATCATTTCCCGCCTGCATGACCGAAGAGACAATTATACCGCCTTCCGCGGACGGAAAATCTATCGCGCACAGCTTCTACAAGTAAATAACGCTGGTACCATGCAGATCGCAAGTGATCTGGCTCGTGGTCGATGTTCGAACTTTCGGTTCGACCACGCTTCCGTATCACGTATACCTACTTGGAGGGGCGAGTGTAATAACGTTAGTCGCTTTGTCCCCCTAAGTGATAATTACTCTCTCTGTTCCACGAATGACGAAGTAGCCATTGCCAACACCAGGTTACTTAGTGTGGGACTGTTTCGTCTTCTGTTACTTCGACCTCGTTGTTCCGCTCAGCACCTTTTCGAATATTCATTCTTCGTTTTGCTTATTTTATATTTAAATGATCGATTACCCCTCAATGCATAAGCATGATAGTGCTATCATCGGGGTAATTCAGATACTATCCATCTGGTTGGCCTACCTACACAAGATTATTTTTTTTATTATTTATTATTACCCTTGTAGAGTCATATGGACGTGATCCTGCTATAAGGACAACTCACCATGGCACCTGATTCAAGAGGGTGCGCTTAGCCGGGATAAACCTGTCGGCCCTCACGGGCCTTAACCTCTAACCGGTCGAGTAGCGTAAGCTCCTCGTCGTCAAAAGTCAGGGTGGAGACGCGTCCACCTCGGGAGACTCGAACCTTCCGCGTATCATAGAGAGAAGTCATCCGTGAGGCGAGCTTACAGACTATGGCGCGGAACGTCTGACGCATCCGAAACAGGTGTGTGGTCGTGGTGTCCTTAATCCGGACGACGCCATAGCGCTCCCTGAATAGGGTAATTTTAACGCTCACAATGACCCGAGAAAGGCATTGGAGGTTGCTCGCACGATGGAAGTACAAGGTATATCCATAAACTTCGTCCGGAAGTTGGGCCAAATTGGCGCAAACATCTGCGCGCGAGTTGGGAAATGATCCCTGCCCATCGCTGAGCAGGCCGATAAAACCAATCCAGCGTGTGGACGCTCCATCCCGAACCATTATTAATCGCTCCGCTCGCTGGATCCGCTCCTCGTCCGTAGTGTCGCGAATCAGTAGATATCTGGCCTGAGTGAGGTCCCGCCGTCCCCTTGGCATCTGCACACCGAAAATGCCACCTATTAGAAAAGGCGCTCGTAAATTTCACACGCCTCATCATAGAAAGCGATGACGTCAAAACGTTCCGAGCGAATGGTATTAAATCTGTTCGCTCGGACTCGTCTCACGTGATGAAGGAGGCCGAATGACCCTTGTAAATCGTTTAGATGAAGTACAATATGGAGGAACATTCCTCTAACCTCAGGAATGCTCTCTACTCCTGGACAGTCCTCGTGAACCACAACTAGGTTCGTGTCTCCATAATCTCGTAACGGATTAGGAGACGCAAAATCATATCGCACAATACGCTGGCCTGGTTCAACCAAGAAAATATAACTCCGCGGTGGTTTCCTCACGCTCCCGTCCCAGAATCGTGACATATCCCGTTCCGAATAAACCTCTAGTGGGTTGTACACCAACCTTCCTTTCCGTATCATGCCGGCGAGGGATCATGTCGGCACCGCTAACCAATTAGCCGCCGCCTCGCGTGTGCTGAACAATCGGAGAATCACTGTCTCCGCAAGCATCAGAACGATGAAGCGGTAGCTTTGTCAAAATAAACTCAGATATACCCATCTTCATGTTCAATCTTCACTCCCCTTTTCGACCGTGATTCTTGTGTCACGGTCCGATCGTAAGAGTAGTACCTAATTGCACCCCATTTAACACTAGTTGAGTCATGGGCTGGGCTTCTTGTGCCGCCAGCCCTCCCACACATTGGTGGCTCCTAAAGCGGCCACCCAGCCGGGTACTAGATTCAACCTCCCCTTTTCCTGAAAGCACGAGGAGGCGACTGCCCCTAGCTTCAAGACACCCTACCCTCTAGGAAGTGGTTTGGAATACCNTACTAGATTCAACCTCCCCTTTTCCTGAAAGCACGAGGAGGCGACTGCCCCTAGCTTCAAGACACCCTACCCTCTAGGAAGTGGTTTGGAATACCCCTCCCCCTCGCCCGAGCACATTGTTCAGGACTCATATGTTGGGCTGGCTCCACCACAACAACATGGTATCCCCCCGCATAAGCAGTCCGCTCCGAGTCGATAACACGGCGGACCCCGAAGGCAACGAACCCCCGCGTCGAATGCCTCCTAGAGAGAAGAAGCCTAAACCCTAGGTGCAGACGATCACTCTATGCCTTTCCGGCTAAGGGTGGACTTAGACGGATTGAGAAGAGAAAGAAGTAAGATATTTTGGACGGGCATAGAAGGATAGTGGTCGTTCGGGATAGAATGGGGAAAACCTTGAAAAAATACTAAGGTGTTCCCTCGTCTTCTTTTCTTTTAATTTCCCCACGACCTTCATTCTTTCGGCACCCGTCCGTTCACACTTCCAGTATTATTTTTGTTTCTCCTCCTTTCTGTCACATGCATTCAGGTTGAATGGGAGAGAGGTAAGCATCCCCATTATTATCTCGAGCAAACAATGCTAATTCCTTCTCACACGCATCTCCCATCCCACCTGCACAATCAAGAAAAACAATCCAGAGATTCATCCATCCCCAAAACAAGTTAGCCCTTTCTTCACACGCATGACATCACGCTCTTACTCTACCTCTTCCCCTGAATTCAAAGCAAGGTCATGCAAGGTGTGGGTTCACGCGGGTGTGCAAGGAAACTGAGTCGCACTGACCTTGAGTGAATTTCTTGAAGGCTCACTCGAGAAAGCCAAGTATTTTCTGAAAAGTTCGGCCGCAAAACTCTCGTTGTGGCCACTCACAAGGATGAACCACACCCTCCTTCAAACGCCACCACTAACTCAGGCACCGCTCACCAACACAAAAGCGAGCTCGCCGTCGCGGAGAGTAATCCACTCTCAAATCCCTCAGCCTCAACGTCAYGCCTTCCACCAAAACAGCGCCAACTCAACCCACCAAATACCAAGTCAGGTCACCACCTGCCTGCTGCAATACTTGGTGGTTCCGGACCCAATCCCCGCTTACTCGGTATGCCGCAAAAAAATAACAACGGCCTCGACAATTCTTACAAGTGCCGCGTGCCGCAACGCCGTCAACAAGACGATCGTTACACCCTTCTGTTCCAAGGTGCACTTCCACCTTGGCGGTACCGTCCCTGTGGCAACGTCCAACACCCCTTCTCGCAGTCCTGTGTACAATACTGTTGCCACAAAATCCGGCAGCGNGCACTTCCACCTTGGCGGTACCGTCCCTGTGGCAACGTCCAACACCCCTTCTCGCAGTCCTGTGTACAATACTGTTGCCACAAAATCCGGCAGCGGCCCCGCTGTACCGCTGAGGAAATTGGTGCTGCCGCCGCACCATTTCGGCAGCGCTTCCGCCGTACCGCCAAGAAAACCAGCGCTGCCGCAGCTCAATTTCGACAGCGCTTTCGCTGTTCCACGAAGAAAACAGGTGCTGCTGCCGCAAAAATTCGATAGCGCTTCCGCCGCACCTCCCTAGAAAACCAGCAGCAACCTCAAGGCCACGGTTTCCCCACATCTTGCATCAAAGCACAGAAGGTGGGGCAAGAAGCTCCCAGCCTTTAACTATGGCTGCTTCCTCCGTCCTCCAAGTGCTTCTGCAGACCTCCCGTACTTCGCCTCATCACACCAGCAGCCAGCCAGCCAGCATTTACTCAAGTAGAATGCCCCAGCAACATTGCCACAAGTGTGAGGCTGCTTGGTGGTAGGCTAGTTTTTACAGCTGGCTGAAGGCTGAGGGCAGCTGCTTTGCCCCCAGCCAAATCTCGGAATAGAGCCTGGCCCTCGATCTAAATCGCGATCAAGGGCCAAGAAACTTGATGGTCCCCTAGGGGAACCAAGTTCTGTACCCTGGTAATGCATCTGGCCTTCACGCGCGGCCAAACGCAGCCCAGAAATGTCTGTACTCAGCCATTTTCAAGCAGACTGCTGAAACCAACAGTCTGCTAGCTATCCATAGTCCAGATGCTTCTAAACTTGCATCTGGACCGAGGCCGCAGCTAAATCCGCGGCCGTTTCCTTTTTTTTTTTCAACTTCTACCCTCCCCTTTTTTTTTCTTTTCGTTTCTTTTTATTTTCTCTAAGGCAGGGGCAGCTCGTCATCTGAGAAACGAACGAGCACTTCCCCCTCCCCCCAGTCATTTCACGGAGTCGAACTAGCTTCAAGCTCAACAGAGCTTTCTTTTCCACCTTTGCCCCGCGCCCGCACCCGGACGCTTTCAGCGCCAGGTTCGGGCGCGCCAGCAAACACTGCAGCCCGTTACTAAAACGAATGGGCGCCACATTTTTCCGAAAAGGAAAAAAAAAAAAAAAAAAAAAACACTCACCTTGACTGAGCTACCCGAGTGTCGGGGTCTCAACCTCTTGATGAGTTGGTGAAAGTCCAACGAAACAGTCGGGCACCGTCTTGCCTGTTTCAACGGGCACAACCACTATGGCTGGCCCACGGCGCATCTGCCCGCGTTCGGGCTGAAGATTCATCCGGTTCTGCTTGTCCTATCAATCGAGGCAGAGGGAGGCCAACGGCCAGGTAAGTTCCCTCCACCCTCCTTTCTCTTCCTCTCTCTCTGTCCGAATCTGGCTGCCTAGGGCKGCACATTCGCTGCCCATGGGCAGACTGTCGGGGTTCAACCCCCTGATGAGTCGGTGGAGGTCCGCCGAAACAGTCTGGCGCAGTGGCCTCTGCCCGTTCGTCCGAAATGAACGGGCACCACGAGAAAAAAAAGAAAGAAGACACAAAAAAATAACTCTAACCCAAATCTAGAAAGAAAAAAAAAAAAAAAAAATCTAAGCAAGATCTAATAAAGAAGAAAAAATCAAAAAGAGAAAAAAAAGGAAAACTTCACCTTGATGCGAAAGGGCTGCCCGAAAAACGGGCGCCCGTTATATTCTGTGGGGACACTAAGTCTCGGTGCTTCATTTTAGTTTAGTTTTGCTCTTTTTTTTTTTTTTTTTTTTTTTTTTTTTTTTTTTTCCCTTTTACCGTTGGCTTAAGCCAACGGTCATGTCGTTTCGCCACGATGGCGCCATCCTACACGCACTACAAAAAGAAAAGAAAAAAAACGAATCCAAGAAAAAAACGGAGAAAACTCCTTACCTCGGCGTTGTAGCTCCTCCATCGCACCCGTACCTGGACGCTTACGCGTCCAGCTACTGGACAAGTAAGTTTTTTTTCCTCTCTCGTTTTTTTTTTTTTTTTTTTTGAAAAAAAAAGAAAAAATATGGACCACAGGGGTCATTTCACCCCAGCGCGGCTGATTTCAGCCGCACGATCTCGAAGATCGCACGGCCGAAAATCGGCCGCACCCTCTGTCAAATTGCGGCTGCTCCAAAAGGAGCTAGCCCGGTAGTGCACTATGTCAGGTTCGATCCCCATGTCTGCGGGGTGGTAATCTGGTGACGGTACCTACTGGGCTAGCTCCTTTTCACATCAGAAAAGGAGCGGCCCTTCTATATGAAGGGCTTCTGGTGCCCAGCAGGTCCCTTCCTAGCGCCTAGCAGGCTACGCCTGCTAAGCCAACTTGCTGCCGTGGCAGGCTGGCGGGGTCGGCGGCCGAGAGCTTTAACAGCTGCCCTACTCAACTGGCCTCGACGCCTTCGGCCCCGGGTCCTTGGCGCAAAAGCCGTAAGGACCCTAAGCCATCCCTTCACGCCGCGGTCCATCTTGCCGCGGCGGCCCCTTTTTGGCCCGCTTAGGCCCTGAATCGCGCAACTTAACAGCCCCGCGACCTCATCATAGGTAGCCTAGGCTTTAACTTTAGTTTTCCCACGACCGCACGCTACTGCGGTCTCGTCTGGACCCGCGGACGACGGTGCCGACTCCCGGTATCCCGCACGAATGTCGATGTCGTCCTGCGTCGACGACGTCAGGTTCAAAAAAGTTTAAGTCTTTTAGTCATAGCGTTGGTCTGAATAAACTCTGGCAACGTCAATCTCATCAAGTCTTCCAATCAAGTAAAAAGGTCAGACAGCGTCCGACGTTTAAAAACACGGGCTGATACCCTTGTTAGGGTTTCTGCCCCGATAGCATTCCCGGGCCTCATTGAACGACTTCCACGTCATTCATGTGGTCGGTACTCTCAATATTAAATCTTGCAGATACTTCTCTTAGTATCCTTCAATCTTAATAAAATCACAGATACTATAACAGCGGATCTCCGAAAAAACGGACTCCTTACTATTAAACGAGTTATGCCCTCGAAGCCAAAATTCACAATCATTCTGCACTCATCGGATTGGTACCAGATTCAACCCCTGGAAGCCCGAAATTAGGAACTCAGGCCCAGATTCAGCCCCTAGAAGCCCAAAATTCAAAGGACCTTATTGTAATGGTTCTAACTAACAAAACTCATTCGGTTGGAAATTATTATTTTAATCATCTGGGAAAACAACCATTACTGCCGGGAATTTAACCCAGGTCTCTCATGTCCATGGGGATGCATCCACAACACTTCAACACACTCACGTGTTGCCAGGAATTTAACCTGGACCTCCCACGTAACACAAGGATACTCGTACTATACTACACTCATGGTTGTCGGGAAAATTAATAGCAAGGCTCTGGTTTTCTATCATTCCTTCTGGAAGATCCGTATTAACCTTCCGCTAACTCCCAGAATGAGCCAGGAATAACCCCTGACAGACCTCCATAACCCAACCTACGATAATCGTTCAGACATAATCTGAACTAGCCATCCAAATAAAGAACTCATTATTTAAGTCCTTTACCCGAGTTTCGTAACCCATCCGATTGTGCAATTTTACAAATACCTAGGATTATTATGTCTTAGTATCCCCGAATTCTATGTGACTGCGTCGAGGAGTGGTGTAATCCTCCACAAAGGATAACATCTCGACATCAAGCCCCGCTTTAGATTTGAGCCTCACCACATTCCCTTCGATTTCAGTATCGCGACTCTGTTAATGCCACGTCTGCAGGGCGAGACAACCTCATCCATATAGTCCAAGTTGGTCAGACGAGGATCATAAGGACGCGGCGACCCTGCATACCACAAGGATAGACGACCAACCCCACCCCTGTGATAAGCAGCGATCGCTCCCCACCATAGGCGAGGTCTCAACAGGATTACGACACCATCCTCCTTTTCGGTGATAGTGTAGCCATCGCCCTTTTTCAATGAAAATGACATCATCTCGTTGTGGACCAGGAACTAAGTTCCGACACGAGCCTCACTATCACCTACAAGGGTCACATCTTTCAGGAATCTCAAGACACTAAAAAGACTAGGTATTACATATAAACTTAATATATTTGTTAAACCATGCGCCTACAGAACGAATACTTATCGTCCAGGAAACCACATGTTACACGCTAAGTCATAACTTTGCACAAATGATTCACACCCATCCTTCACAAGCAAAACACATTCAACATAAGAAATAAAAGAGATGCATGATCGGAGAATCATTTCTACAGGGGTTGAAAAATTACTATGCACCTCAATTATCTTACTCAAAAACGAAGAATAATGACAAAAATGACGTCAACAAGTAATTCATTACAAGTCCATATGTGTCTGTCCATTACATGGAAAATATATCTTACAAATACTTAATCATAAAATCAAGTTAGCCAGAGGTATCAATATCTGTTAAAAAAAATAAGACATCATTTAGCCCCTATGGACAAACTTTTTCAAGCGTGAGCCTGAAACCCAATCTCGCCTACGTGCTCCATCCATCTCCTCAATCTCGTATGCTCCAATCTCTGTTTTCTTAATAATACGATATGACCCCATCCATCGATTATCTAATTTCCTCGACCACTGTTTTTCAAGAGAAGAGTCATAGAGGAGGACAATATCCCCCACTTCCAACGGTTCCTTTCTAACCCGGGGTTGCATATCCCATCTAACTTTATCCGTCCGTCTGCTGTCCGCAGTTGACGCAGAGACCTCCACAACTCTTTCCTCAGTAACTTTTATTTGCCTGACCCTCAGGTCCAGCAATTCTTCTGTAGAAAGTTTGATTTTCATATCCTGTTTTTGCCATGTGGTCAGGAAACTCTCAATTGGAAACGTAGCGTGTCGTCCAAACCATAACGTAACAGGAGCATACCCAGTAGTCCGTTTTACGGTTATATTTTCAACAAATATGGCAGCTCTGAGATAGACGAGCCATGTTGATGGCTTGCCTGCACACCATTTAGCTAGCAAATTAGTCAAGGTGGCATGCCCACGTTCGACCGGAGTATTGGCCAAGGGGTGTGCTCTAGTGGTATAACTATAGTTCACTCCCAGTCTTTTTAGGAGAGCCTGAACCTCTTCTGGCCGAAATTCGCCGCCTCGATCCATCACAAATTCCCGAACAAATGGATACCGAAGGTAAAACTCTTCGAGACATTCTGCCAAGATCTTCCCGGTTCGTTCACGGATTGCACGCCCATCAACAAACCCGGTAAGATTATCTCTCGCATAAAAAATGTATCTGTACCCATTAAGCCTGGTGGTATAACGATCAGGTCGAGGTGCACAACCGCACCTGGCTCAACCACATATTGTGGATTAAGTGGTTCAACATAACGGAGGCTCGAACATTTCTGACAAGGAACGCACGAGTTGCAGAACTCTGCCACCATCTTACCCATACCATCCAAAAAATAGAGGTGTTGGATCTTTCCCAATGTCACTTGTGCAGATCGATGTCCACCTGCCACTCCATCATGTAGAGCCGCAATCACATCCAACTGTCTGGGAACCCCGCACACCACTCTCTGAGGTGTACCATCGTCAGACTTTTTGAAGAGATGCCCCTATCGAACGACAAAATCCTTTGCCTTCTCTCTTATTTCTGGCTCTATCTCTGCCTCGTTCAGATCCCCATTCAACCAAAGCCCAATCTTCTTATAGATCCCATCATATTCCTCCGCACGAAAGACTTCTTTAATCCCACTGCCTTCCCTTTCTTCCATTATTAACTTGCCGTGATCTTCTTGTATCAACGCATTAACAACGAATACCATTCCTCCAAAGGTCTTGAGGACTTCGTCTCCTTGCTCATGTCCTCCTTCAATCGTAAGAGGTTCTTCCGAAAGTCGTATTGGGTCAGATAGCGCCAACCTCTTCATCTGCTCAGCAGACCGTTCGCCCCAAGGATCCTCCTCAATAAAAGACTCACTCATCACAAGTTCTGAAAACTTTTGGTAACAACTCGGCGGACTCCAGATCGACTTTCCAGGTCGGGACGAAGCATTAGTGATATATTCCCAACCCCTGATACTCAACTGTTGCTCGTCTGTTTCCGAAAATCCATCCACAGGAACGGAGTCTTCTGCCCGATCTTTCGAGGAGTCCCACTCGATCCGACTCAATCCATCCGCCCGATTTTGCGTTCCCGCAATACGTTCGATCTCGAAATCGAACATCCAGATATAGATCAACCATCGAGCAATAGTTGGATCCGAGGGGGAATAATTCTTCAGTGACTGCGCCAGGGCAGTCGGATCAACCCGCAAGACGAACCGTCTTCCAAACATGTAGTTATGCAAGATCCCGAAACAATGAAGCACTGCAAGGGTTTCTTTCTTAAATTAGGAATACTTCCGTTCCGCCTCATTCATCGTTCGACTTTCAAATCTCAATGGCCTTTCTCGCCCTCCTCCATCCTTTTGGATGAGGACTCTACCCAACGCTGTGGGGCCTGCATCCGTTTCAACCACAAAGGGCCGATTCGGGTCATTCTCAAAGTACGGAACCCCCAGGATCAACCCTCTTTCTCGGAATTGTGCCTTGATATAGTCAACTGCCGCCTGCTACTTTGGACCCCATTCCCATTCCTGATTTTTACGCACCAACTTCCGTAGGTGTTCCACCCTTGCTGCGAACTTGCGGATGAAGATGCGCCAGAATCCGCAAGTCCCCAAAAAACTGCGCACATCAGTGATGGACTTAAGCGGAGTCGGTTATTCCAGAATCTTGTTTGTCTTCTTGGAATCTGGCCGACGACCCCTCTCATCGCACAGGAAGCCCAAGAGAGTCGCCTCACGCATACAATGCCGAGATTTGACATCGCTGGCAGTGAGGTTGTACTCCTTTAACTTGGACAGGACCTTCTCCACGTTACGAACATGCTCTCAAACAAACATTCAAACGCCTGGCAGCACCTCCGTCTCGTCCTTGACCCGTGGCCCGGGTATGGCCAGATCATCGATATAAGGTGAGGTCACGTATGGACAAAGCGGCTGCATGAATCTCATCATATATCTCTAAACAATCGCTACGGCGTTCGTCCATCCTTGAGGCGCCGCACACATATGAATTAATCCCGTCGGCGTATGCATGGCCGTCATCGGCCTGTCTGCCGTATAGAGAGGGAATTGATCATATCCTGAGTACAAGTCGATGAGAGTGATGATAGGTCTGCCTGCGCACGACTCAGACAACTGATCGGCATGTGGAAGTTCTCCGGCATCACGAACCGTCACTGAGTTCAGCTTCTGCAAATTCTGCACCCATCGCAATACGCCATTTGGCTTGATGAAACAAAACCAAGGGGACGCATATGGTCCATACGAGTAATCCGCGACCTTTGTCCGAATCTTACCGTCCAAATATTCAACGACTCTACGATGATCATCTGGATTTGGATAGCGCGGACCTCGTATGTTCCACGGCTCGTGAAGTACCGTATGAATCCTGATCATCGGAATCATGTCAACGTCAAGCCTCCCTCGCTCGTCATCATCGAAGGCGTAAGCCAAATGAGTTCTCTTCATGACACTGACAAGGAAGTCCACCTTCTTTTCAGTAAGCGACCCTTCCTCTCCAATGATCATATTCTTAATCCTCTCCTTCGTCAATCGACATGACGCCTTCATACTATTTTTCTTCCTCATCCTCATCCATTCTCTTTCTTCTTTATAATACACTTCTTTTTCTTGCGTGATCAAGACGGGCACTGGACGAACTTTCTCGCCTACTCTCTTGTACTTACGTTTCGCTCCAACTCCAAATCGTCCACCTCTAAAAAAGGCCCTTGCTTGGCTGCTGGCTCCGTCAATACATCATCTTCCGAAGAACTGTCGGACCGATAAGTAAGATACATCCTACCAGTCCCGCCTTCTCCTGCCACAATCTCTGTCAATGTTTGGACCAACTTGGGGTCGAACTCAATCGCTTGAGAGATGTTGGGCAGAGCAAGAGAAAATTCTCGGGGATCGCTCTCTTCTCCGAGGGATTCCTTCTCCCTCCTGAATCTTTCGGATTCCGTGAAGGAGTAGGACCCCGGATTGAGTCGGTTCCTTGAATTGGTTGGTCCTGTGTTCTCACACTTCATCACCTCGTAATAGCCACATACGGGTCACACAAAACCACGATCATAGTACCATCATTCTTGTTAAAGATGATGGATTCTGATCGACAGAGGAAAACTCTGCCCCGCAACACGACATGCTCAACCCTGGGTAACACATAGAAGTAAGAACGGACTTCGACTTTACCAACTTGTATCGTCACGTTACTTGCCGTTCCGCAAAAGGGAGTTATCCCACTTGCACCCACCAAAAATCCAGTATCCGCTCGATTGATGTTGACGCCTGCCCCCAGGGCTTCTCTTTCACGTATAATGTTAATTTCAGCTCCATCGTCGATGAGAGCCGAGTACTCACACGGCCCAACTTGCACCTTCAATAATCTAGTTGCTACACAGTGCCAGTCCATTTTTTGTCTCAGGAGGAACCCAACTAATCTCTTGGGGAAAAATATCACTCATCTTAACCGTCATCACCTTTTTTCTTGACAATCGGTGTCTGAACTCCTCTCGAATTTTCGGTGATGCGACCAAGAATTCCTTGAGCGTGAATAGATCACGCTGGCTTTCCAAAATCGGGTCCACGATTTGCTCAATATCCAGCCCGTGCTCTACCGGAGTCGTGTAAACTTGCTTCTTCTTTTTCAAATCACCCTCTCCAATATCGACCCTGCCTGTTTCTGGCTCCCTCTCCATGGCCCGTTGTTTGGCCTGCCGCTCATCCTCAGCCCGCAACAATTCGTCCTCCTCACCATCGTCTTCTTCAATTGAAACTGTCTCGGTTTTCCGAGGCTGACTTGGTCCTTCTTTTGGCGCTGCCCTTGGCCGCGGCGGCCTTCGAGCCCTCCGAGCTTGTGGGAGACCAGCGGTGGCAGGTCGCTTGAAAGCAGGACGGGACAAAATCGTGGTGGCAATCAAACGCCCTGCCGACGGCGATCCAGGCTGTGATGCGGTAACATCAGTAAGATCTCCTTGGCCATCTCTGTCCCATCCTCCAAACAGAAAAACTTGGGGAAGCCTGGGCCACTCTTCATTCATGTCGGCACATACTTGAACGAAAGCTTCCCTGCATCGAGTCATTTTTCTGACCACCAACTGGGCTCGATGCAATATCTCTTTCTGCTCTTTGCTCAAACTTTCATCTGCGGTCTTGTCATCTTCAATCGCCAATGACTCCATCGCCGCTTCCAACTCAATCTGTTCGACTTCTTCCAGGGAAGCCAGTCAAAAAGTTGTTGGAAGATCTCGCCCGATACGTTGGAAGGCTTCCTTTCCCATTCCTCCTTCCACATTGGGATCGATGAGGTTCCCTTCGAAGTCGTAGACCTCGCCTCGGATATTCGTATATATAACCTTATCGTTTTCATCTTTGGTAACGGTCTGACAAAACCGTATCCCATGCCCATCTTGTCCGCAGTACTTGCAAAACCAATTCTGCCAATTGCCTCGGCCGCCTCCATTTCCTCGGCCTCCCCCAGTGCCTTGTCCTCTACCTCGACCTCGGCCTCGGCCTCCTGCTTGAGGTTGGGGTTGCTTAGGAGGGGCCTGCGCCGCCTGTTCCTGGTTGCTTCCTTGTCCACCTCCTCCATTATTCTTCCGCTGCTTTTTACTAGTGCCTTGCCCTCCTCGTATCTGGTTTAAGGCCTTCCGTCTCGCTTTAGTCAATTTTTGAGGGGGCTCCACTTCTTCCTCATCTTCCTCTTCACTGCTGCTACTGCTCACCTTCTCCACAACGGGAGCTTTCCCCTTCCTCTTTCCACCTTTTGTCTGGACCATCATCACTTGTAGCTGTAACCTTTCCTCCTTCATGTCAACCATCATGTTCCGCATGTCAGTCAGGGTCTTGTAAACGGCTTGATCCTTGTCCGCGCTTACCCCTTCCTTCTCGCGGTCCTCCTTTTGCTGCTTAAGGAGACGGTAAAGCATCTGGTCGAAGCTTCCAGCCAACAAATTCTCCTTGATCTTTGGCCAGTCGTATCGTCCGGTCATATCCTTCATCAGTTCCCGCTGCTCAACTTTCGAAAAGTTATCGAGGAAGATAAGGCACCGATCCTTATCAGGAAGATCAGGCACTAAGCGCGCGACTCGTTCAAATTCCGTGAGAAACTGCTTGGTCGTACCAAACTTCCGACGTCTGACTTTCCGTAAGTCGGCCAGGTCGAGCAGTTGATCCCCCAATTGGTACTTGTCCAGTAATTTGGCCTTAAAGTCCGGCGAGTCGCACGAGGCTTGCACCAACTCCGACACTTCCTCTTTGTATTCGACCATACAATATCGCTTCACCATTTGAAGCATCTTCTCACTCGTCCATTCACAACAGCTGCCCAGTTGTTCAAACTTGTCCGCCCATGTTGAGGCATTGGTGCCATCGAAGAGGGGAACTTGAACTTTCGGCAGCTGCGCCTTTTGATTATCGGCCTCTCGAATGGCCCGTGCGAGTTCCAGAATGTCATTGCGTCAATCCCCTGCATTAATATTCGCGGGATCAACACTCCCTCCCGTCATCTTCGGAGAATCAACACGATAAAACCCACACGACCAAGTGTCAAATAGGTTCCAACAATTCACTCCAAACCTTGCCTTCTTTTCTTTCTCTAAACATTGATAATCACTGACTACTTTCAATCCAAACAAACAACACACAATACTTAAAATCGCTATAACCATCATTTTCCCGAGTATTGTTCCACCAGGGACAACGGTAATTTGCCGTCATCCCCGACAACGGCGCCACCTGTTGAGCGCATCGGCCCTCGCGTGAACGAGGGCCCTCCTGGCTATGTCACGCAGGAGTTATGACAAAACAAAATCAAGAGACAACTTAGGACGATGCAGAGATAATTCCACGAACCGCCGAGACAGATGCGGTTGCATTGTCCCTTCGCCGCTCTAGCCGGGTGCGCCAACTATACATCCCGCGGTCCCCTACGACAGGATAGGTTTTCGCGGGGCACAACTTACCTTCCCTGAGGGGCTGTCACCACCCTCAGGGGCGTATCCCTACCGAGATACCGACCCACGTGCGAAAACTTTTACATGCAATTGCAGAGGTAGGTCAGTCGAGGGCGTTTGCTCGCTCGCTGGAGTATAGGTACGCTTGGTTAACGCCAAGTGGACCCGAACGTTGTCCGTTTCCGAGGGCGCTGAACTCCTTGGTACGAACAAGTGTCGGTCGACTAGGACGGCCTCAACCAAACGTGAAACCGAATGTATAATCCTAGTCCCTTTATAATCCCCTACCAATTTATAACAACATTTTGACTTGATGAGACGACCNGAATGTATAATCCTAGTCCCTTTATAATCCCCTACCAATTTATAACAACATTTTGACTTGATGAGACGACCTGCCAAGGTTATCATTTCCCGCCTACATGACCGAAGAGACAATTATACCGCCGTCCGCGGACGGAAAATCTGTCGTGCACAGCTTCTACAAGTAACTATCGCTGGTACCATGCAGATCACAAATGATCTGGCTCGTGGTCAATGTTTGAACTCTCGGTTCGACCACGCTTCCGTATCACGTATACCTACTTGGAGAGGCGAGTGTAATAACGTTAGTCGCTTTGTCCCCGTAAGTGATAATTACTCTCTCTGTTCCACGAATGACGAAGTAGCCATTGCCAACACCAGGTTACTTGGCGTGGGACTGTTTTGTCTTCTCTTACTTCGTCCTCGTTGTTCCGCTCAACACCTTTTCGAATATTCATTCTTCGCTTTGCTCAGTTTATATTTAAATGATCGATTTATCATCGAGGTAATTCAGATACTATCCATCTGGTTGGCCTACCTACACAAGATTATTGTTTTTTTTTGTTATTATTACCCCTGTAGAGTCACATGGTTGTGACCCTGCTATAAAGGACAACTCACCGTGGCAGATGATTCAAGAGGGTGCGCTTAGCCGGGATAAACCTGTCGACCTTCACGGGCCTCAGCCTCTAACCGGTCGAGTCGCGTAAGCTCCTCGTCGTCAAAAGTCAGGGTGGAGTCCAGCATGTGGGCGCTCCATCCCGAACTAGTAATAATCGCTCCGCTCGCCAGATCTGCTCCTTGTCCGTAGTGTCGCGAATCAGTAGATATCTGGCCTGAGTGAGGTCCCGCCATCCGCTTGGCATCTGCACACCGAAAAAGCCACCTATTAGAAAAGGCGCTCGTAAATTTCACACGCCTCATCATAGAAATCGGTGACGTCAAAACGTTCCGAGCGAATGGTATTAAATCTGTTCGCTCGGACTCGTCTCACGTGATGAAGGAGGCCGAATGACCCCTGTAAATCGTTCAGATGAAGTACAGTATGGAGGAACATTTCTCTAACCTCAGGAATGTTCTCTACTCCCGGACAGTCCTCGTGAACCACAACTAGGTTCGTGTCTCCGTAATCTCGTGACGGATTAGAAGGCGCAAAATCATATCGCACAATACGCTGGTCTGGTTCAACCAAGAAAATATAACTCCGTGGTGGTTTCCTCACGCTCCCGTCCCAGAATCGTGGCACATCCCGTTCCGAGTAAACCTCTAGTGGATTGTACACCAGCCTTCCTTTCCATATCATGCTGGCGCGGGATCGTGTCGGCACCGCTAACCAATTAGCCGCCGCCTCGCGTGTGCTGAACAATCGGAGAATCACTGTCTCCACAAGCATCTGAATGACGAAGCGCTAGCTTTGTCAAAATAAACTCAGATATACCCATCTTCATGTTCAATCTTCACTCCCCTTTTCGGGCCGTGATTCTTGTGTCACGGTCCGATCACGAGAGTAGTGCCTAATAGCACCTGCTTTAACACAAGTTGAGTCACGGGTTGGGCTTCTTGTGCCGCTAGCCCTCCCACACGTTGGTGGCTCCTAAAGCGGCCACCCAGCCGGTTACTAGATTCAACCTCCCCTTTTCCTGAAAGCACGAGGAGGCGACTGCCCCTAGCTTCAAGACACCCTACCCTCTAGGAAGTGGTTTGGAATACC